TTGTGAGATGGAGCCCCACGTCGGGCTCTGCGCTGGGCGTGGAGCTGGCTTGAGATTCTCTCTCTCCCTCTCCCTCTGCCCCTCCCCCCACCACGTGTTCTCTCTCTCTCTTAAAAAAAAAAGCACAGACTTCAAATAACTTATATGGAAATGAGAGTATTTTTCACTTAAACTATATTAGTAATTCCAAAACATGGCTGTAGTTATGAAGATACTGTTATCGAAGATGGATGTGAAGATTTTGAATACACTTATTTCTGTGAGATGTGAGTGGAAAAAGCAGTATTTTAAAATTAATACGTTGGATATAGGAAGGGATTCTAATACGTCTAGCCACATGAGTAAGTTAATGTTAGAGAGAGAGATTGTGTACTAGTTCATTTGCATCCCTAGAAGTTACACATTTTTTGGACCCTCTCATTGGGAAAATAGGCCATCAACTTCTATTCAGCAACCTTATATGTAGACATATTTGGGAGGTTACAGGTTTTGCCGGCCAAGTCCTCAAGGTCTGGGATCCACAGTGTATAGCATGAAATTTCTGGGGAGAGGGACCTCCAGGAATATGGATGGAGTGCTAGCCTGAGAGGGATGAGGTGGTAAGGTGCAAATTTCACCTTGTATTAATTTTGTTTGGTCTTAAATCTGAGAAATCTGAGAGGACTAGCCAGAAATTTGATGGTGATTTTGTTGTGATAATTTGGCCTTTTTTTTTTTTTTTAAGTGTTTTTTTAGGGCTATTTCAGGAGAACTTGGCAGGTCTTGGAGAGTATGTTATAGCCCATTTTCCCCTTTCTAGCTGTTTTAAAACATATCTTTAAGCTGTGGAGCCCTCATTTAAATGAAATCTCAACATGGAAAGCCAATATACCAACGGAATATTGGCAAAGTTTCACATTGTGTCTCTAATGGGAACTGTCCGAAGCCTTTTTGTTTTATTCGCTCTTGTTTCTAGGCCTCTGAGACAGAGAGAGCAAACCAAGCTGCTGTTTGAAATACTGGAAATTACACTCTGGTTTTTACAGTGTTGGTGAAATTAAGAGCTTGGCGTGTGATGGGAACTAAAAAGACCAGTGAGTTCATTTGACGTTCAATTTTATCTGCCGTGCTTAAGAAGGGATACGACATACGAATCATCAGCCACGCTTTCTGACTTTCCATGACCATCCTGGGATGTTTCACGATTTCAACAGACAGAAAGGTTTACGTTTCAGATGCAACCTAACGATAGTTTAATGGAAGAGTTCTTACCTCCTTGGCAGAAAGACACGACACAAGAAATCTCCCGCTTTTGAAAGAGCCAAGGTCAAGTCTTACCTGAGAGTTTGTCTCAACCTGATTAACAGACAAGGAGGGCCATCCTTTAGCCTCTGGGTTATAAACATCGTAAACACTCTGCGTTGTCCATCTTCTTTCAGTAGCAAAGGGAAAATACGACCTGGTGCTCTGTGCTCTTCATAACCTTTATTCAAAGTCCATTTTCTTTTGAAAAGGAAACTTATGAAACCAGAAATCAAATCCAGTTCTACTAGCCACTAGCTATGTGATCTTGGGCAAGCCCCATAGCTTTTCCACGCTTCCATTTTCCTGCCTGTAAAATAGAAAATGAATTTTCCTCTCTGAAAATTCATAATAATAGCAAGTGTTTGTTGGACCCTTACTTTATGGCAGGCCCTTCACATGGGTTCTGTCTTTTAATCATAACGACACCCCCATGAAGAAAGTACTACTGTTATTTCCATTTTACCCTTAGAGAAACTGAGGCACGGGTGTTAACGTTCCTTGCCCAGGGTTGCACAGGAAATGATGAACCAGTCTTTGAATGCAAGTGGCTGGAATCCAGCACCCAGGCCCTTCCCCGCCCTGCCTCGCCTCCTGAGATGGCCACAGTGGGGGTGAATGAGAGGGGCTGGGGGGCAAGGTGACCAGTACGGGCTTGGTGCAGTGGGTGAGAGTTTCCCTCCTCCTCAGGGTGACTTGTGCTGACTAGTTGGGTGTCTCCTCTCTTTCTTTATACATTTCTTGGGGACAGTGACGGTCTTATTCATCTTCTTTCCCCGTGCAGTGAAAGAAGAGAATGGTATGGAGGATGCCTACTTCCCTCCATTCTATGTGTCACAAACCGATAAAATTTTTTAAAGATTTATTTATTTATTTTAGAGAGAGAGAGAGCGAGACCAAGCATGAACAGGGGGAGGAGGAGCAGAGGGAGAGGGAGAGAGAGAATCCTTGAGCAGACTCCCCGCTGAACATGGAGCCTGATATGGGGCTCAGTCCCACGACCCTGAGATCATGACCTGAGCCGAAACCAAGAGCCGGCCGCTTAACCGACTGCGCCACCCAGGCGCCCCAAACCCATACAATTTTTATATCTGTTAAAGTCTCACCTTGTCCTTCAAGCTGTAGCAACCCACAGAGAATCCTTAACTACTCATTTAGCCTTACTCCTACTTGTCACATGACAGACATGCAGTAAACAGTGGCTGAATGAAGAAATGGGTGACTCATGTGCTATTGTCATTACCCTTTATGTTTGCCGTTTACTCTGGTCACTCCTACTGGGATGGTGTGTGCTGGGAGAGTAGGGGACCATTCCGTTTGCTTGTCTTGCCCATGACATTGAGGCTACTCGAGGGAGAACCAGAGGACCAAGGCGGGCAGGTCTGTGGAGACCAGCCTTGGTCCCATTATTGTTGGAGGCTTTCCTGGTGTGCCTGAGGTCCCCCCAGTACCGGACCTCCACCTTGTGGCCTGCCACTGGGTGAATTCGTGGTGCCTCGGAGAGTGTGGGAGTCTCGGTAATTAGGCCTGTAAAACCGAGAGAACCAAGGTGTGCTGTGGCCCACTCACATCGATGTTGTTTGCAAAGTATTAACTTTTATTTTCTTTAACCTAAGTAAAATATGCTTTAAAAATTATTTTCTTGGGGCGCCTGGGTGGCTCAGTCGTTAAGCGTCTGCCTTCGGCTCAGGTCATGATCCCAGGGTCCTGGGATCGAGCCCCGCATCAGGCTCCCTGCTCGGCAGGGAGTCTGCTTCTCCCTCTGACCCTCCCCCCTCTCATGTGCTCTCTCTCTCTCTCTCATTCTGTCTCAAATAAATAAATAAAATCTTTAAAAAAAAAAAAAAGAAAAGAAAAAGTCTGTGATAGCGGGGCGCCTGGGTGGCTCAGTCGTTAAGCATCTGCCTTCAGCTCAGGTCATGATCCCAGGGTCCTGGGATCGAGCCCCGCATCGGGCTCCCTGCCCCGCAAGAAGCCTGCTTCTCCCTCTCCTATTCCCCCTGCTTGTGTTCCCTCTCTCGCTAGTGTCTCTCTCTGTTAAAAAATAAATAAAAAATCTTTTTAAAAAATTATTTTCTTAAAAACGTATTTTCTGCATTATTCTGTAACTTGGAAATATTGCACAAGGTTTTACGGTGGTAAAATATGCACAATGTAAAACTGACCATTTTAACCATTTTTAAGTGTATAATTCGGTGACATCACAGTCAGAATGTTGTGCAACCATCACCACCCCCGTTTCCAGAACTTTTTATCATCCCAGACGGAAACTCGGTACCCATTAAACAACAACGCCCCATTTTTCCACCAACCCAGCCTCTAATCTCCTTTTTGTCTGTGTGAATTTGCCTACGCTAGGTACCTTGTATAAGTGGAATCGTCGAACATTTGTCCTTCTGTGACTGGCTTGTTTCCCTTAGCATAATGTTTTCAGGTTTCATTGATGTTGAAGCACAGATCACAATATCATTCCCTTTTAAGACTGAATGATATTCCATATGTGCTTAGACCGTATTTTGTTATTTTGTCTGCTGGTGGACACTTGGGTTGTTTCCGCCTTTGGACTATTGTGAATAATACTTACATCAATGGTTTTAAGAAAGAAGCGAATTTATGGGAATGAAACACAAATACATTGTGTTTTGCTACAGAGTTCCAGATAATAACACATAAAACATAAGGAACTATAATAAGCAGCAAAAGTATAAACAAACCACAAAAACCAAAACACACTGTAAGTTCAGGGGACGAGCACCATTGCTTTAATGAATGGTGTTAAACAAGCATTTCGCTGAAGGCCCAGCATGAGCCACGCATACACCCTGAGTTTCCAGCCATCCAGGAGGTTCCTTTCCAAGCACCTGGGCAGGTAGCTTTGCTTGCAGGCAGGGGCGGTTGGTGTCACACGAGAGATACAGGCAAGGTCTCTGGACCTTCAGAGGCAGGGACAGAATTCCTCGGGGCGGGAGGGGGGGCTCTAAGGAGGTGGCAGATCTTGGCCCAGTGGTGATGGGAGCAGGGGAGGCATTAACTAGGGTAAATTCCTAGCACTGTTCTTTCTCAGCTAAACCCAGCTGGCAAGTTTCTGTTTCTTAGGCCTGTCCTGAGGGCTTCGGGTCCCTCTAGCTCACATTACTCACAGCTGTTAAGCAGTCTTAATCCTGCATTTAAACAACCTTGTTACTTGGAGTTGCTGTGTCTCCAACAAGTGCCTTGGATTTGCTTGTCTGGTTCGTGTGTGTGTCTCAGGGCAACAATGCCCCCGTCGGCCTTCTGGAAGAGCTGCTTTTCTTTGGGTGATCTGAGGCATGGCCCTTGTCCTCCTCTGCCCACTGAGTGGACACAGACTTGGGATCACACGGTCTGCCCACGATGCAGCCGAGAGCCAGCCACTCCTGCTCTCCCCTAGCCGCACAACCTTAGAGAAGTCACTCCGCCCTTCTGGCCCTGATGTCCGGCGTGAGGGGACCCAGTGGTCTCCGCGGCCCTTCCGGCTCTCCAACTTTATGATCACCCATATCATGAGTGAATGACCCCCCTCCAGCACTCTTGGAATAAATGACTCAGCACTCTGATAGTTCTGTTGCTGTTTTTAAGGAAGCCTGATTATTTTGCCATCACAAGCAAGTGTTTGTTCCGTGGTTAAACAATCTGACAGTCTTGATCCAGCTGGAGTTGGGCTGAGGCTGACTGGATTTCTTCACGCCGCCCTCTTTCAGGGAAGAAGCCCGGGTACCGACTGGCCGCAGACACCCCGAGCATTGTCAGGACTCGGAGCCGGTGACGGGGAGCTGCTGTCCACCCCCGGCCTTCCCCCCCCAACCCAGCTTCAAGATGCTGAGCCTGAAGCTGCCCCGGCTGTTTAGCATCGACCAGATGCCCCAGGTATGTGCTGTGGGTCCGGTGGTTGAGTTCCGGGCAGTGATGAGGGCGCCGTGTGGCCTCTGCCCTGGGGCGGGGTGGGGGGGTGCTGGCTTTGTCTTCAGCCAGCACCCCCGTCTCCCCCACCTACACTGAACCTGGAAATGGGAGGGATCCTGAGACTGTTGACGTCGTAACCCTTCCCTGTGACATCTGTATTTTATCCCGAAGCCAAGTCTTTGTTGAGACTCCACATTCGAGCTGCAGACATGTAGCCAGTGGTATCCAGCTGGGTAGACGTTTCCTTTGGGCCCCTCCCTGGGGTGCTGGAAAGCAGGCCAGGGCCAGGCCGCCTCGGGTGTGTGGCTTTGCCCTTGTCCGTATCACTTGCAGGAGGCTCGGGCCCCGTGTGGCTTGGGGCGAGGAGGAGGGTGTCTTGTGGGCCTCAGGCCTGGCCCCATCGTGGACTCCTGGGCCCGGGAGCTCACAGGCGGCCACCCCGAGACACCTGGCAGGCCTTGACAGTCCGCATTTGTAAGCGGCCTGAGGTGAAGCCCCTCTGCTGGCGCACCCCCTTCCCCGGCGGAGCAAACACCACTTCTTGCACACTCTTGTTGCCGCGTCACATTCCCTTCCTTTTTGACTGAAGACGAGCCAGGGTGGGACGTTTCATCTGGAGGATGTCACAGACTGAAGGGAGACCCTTCCACGCTGCTGACTGCCAAGCACTTCCAACTTCCCTCAGAGGCCTAAGTCCTGGGCGCGCTCAGCCCCGCGCAGAGATGAGGAGCGGGCAGCCTGCCAGGCTCTGTTCCAAAAGCCTGTGCAGCTGGGTGGATGCAGCTAGGTGGCACTGGGGGGTGATGGGACACGGGGCAGAGCAGTCTGGTGGAAGAGGCGAGGGACACGGCAGGTGACAGACAAATTAAAATGAGGCTGGCCTCGCAGGACGCCTCCTGTGTGCTCCCAGGGCCGTACCTCCTCCTGGTGCAGTTCTCCGCTGGCTTCTACCCACAGACCACTAGTGGCTGCGATTAGTGGGAGCACGGGGTGATTCTTTGAGTCATCCACTCACAAAATTTTTCTTGACGCCCTGCCATGTGCAAGGTGTCACTCCGGAATAATCCCATACAAATCCTGCCCCTAAGGATTTTAAAATGTGGACGCGTGCTTCTGTTGCAAAGTGGGTTAGGGTATGTCCTGAAAGACCCAGAGGAGGGATCGGTCACTTCCATCATGGGGGAGGAAGGGCTCAGGGAGATCTTTAAGATGGCTTGAGCGTGGGTAGGAGGTGGGAGGTGGGCCGACCAGAACAGGTGGAAGGACTGGCGTGGACAAAGGCCTGGGGACAGGGAAGCAGCGAGCAGGCGTGGGGACTCTTGGGAGAGGGGTCATGGGTGCTGCTGAGATGTCTCCCTGGGTGTTTTGGGCAAGGTCGCATTCAGAGCATGTGCCCAGGAAAGACGTGAAGGGGAAGTGAAGGTCTCAATGGCTACTTTGTGGGCTTCTGAAGTGTGGGGATCCTGAAGACGAGGACCAGAAAACCCTGGAGTGCTAAAGAGGAACGTGTCTCCTGTGTCCAGGTTTTCATAGAGGTTGGAGGTGACAGTATCCTTTTTAGTAAAATGGTGCTAGTCAGAGGCGGAAAACCAACATCGCACCTCACATCCACTGTTTTTTGCTTCGAAACCTTCCTTGGGCGCCTACGTCCACTACCGGGCTTTGGGGCCCCATGCTCAAGGTTCCTGCGGCCGTGGAGCGAACAGTGGCTCTGCCTGCCTGGAGGGTACTTTTATTTGAAGATTTGCTGGGGGAGGGGGATGGAAACGTTTGTTGTTAAAACCCCGTGCAAATATATTGAGGAGAAAAATGCATATGTAATTTGCATGAATATTTAGAATAGACCTCCTACAAATGCTAAGCTTATTTTCGGTGGGCTCTTTGGGTTCTTGTACCCAGTCTGTGGAGTGACCTTGGGCAAGATACTTAATCTCCCTACCTCAGTTTCTGCACCTGTAAAATGGGGTGATGGGAATATCTGCTTCCTGGGGTTACGGTTATGAGATGGCCCATGTGAAGTGCCTGGCACATGGGGTCGAGTCAGTAATGTCGGCTGCCATTTCCATCATCAGGTCTTCATACAGGGGCCCTGGATAGCCTCTCCTTTAGCATATTAATGAGCTGTGTGGACTGGGCCACTTCCCCATCCTCTCTGAGCCTCAGTTTCCTGATCTGTAAAGTGGAGATAATACCTGTTAATTTAGTCTCACAGGGCTATTGTGAGGATCCAAGAAAAATGAAGTAGAACAGTGGGATTATTATGAAAGAACAGTAGCATAGCCAGATGGTGTGGTGTTGGGTAGGAGGGCTTGGGCCCTGAGGACCCAGGAGCCAACTCAGTAGGCAAATGGTTTCTCCAGCTCAGGGTTTCTCAAAGTGGGTGCTTGGATCCCCGCCATCAGAATCATCAGGAGCTTATTAAAATACAATATGAATGGGTACCTGGGTGGCTCAGTTGGTTAAGCGTCTGCCTTTGGCTTGGTCATGACCGTGGGGTTCTGGGATCGAGCCCCAAGGCAGACTCCCTCTCCCTCTGCCCCTCTCCCCTGCTTATGCTCTTGCTCACATGTGCTCTCTCTCTCTCATGAATAAGATCTTTAAAAAAAATACAATATGAAGCATGATGGCAGGCCTCTTCATATTGTTCTTGATTTTAATGAAAAGGAATGCTTTCAGGGGCGCCTGGGTGGCTCAGTCGTTAAGCGTCTGCCTTTGGCTCAGGTCATGGTCCCAGGGTCCTGGGATGGAGCCCCGCATCGGGCTCCCTTCTCAGTGGGAAGGCTGCTTCTTCCTCTCCCACTCCCCCTGCTTGTGTTCCCTCTCTTGCTATGTCTCTGTCAAATAAATAAATAAAATCTTAAAAAAAAAAAAGAATGCTTTCAACATTTCATCATTTAAAATAATGTAGCTCTATGTGTGTCTGTGTGTGTGTATGTAAATAACCTTTATCGAGTCAAGGATATTCCTTTCTACCCCTTGTTTTCTAGAATTTTTTCCCTTTAAATAAGAATGAATTTTACAGAACCCTTTTTTTCCCTATCAATGCATTTTTTGAGATGGTCGTGTATGATTTGTTTAAGTTATTAGTGTGGTGAATTACACTGACCAATTTAGTAATGTTAAGTTAACCTTGCATTTAAATAAAACTTGGTCATGATGTAATATCTTTTTAATCTAATTGCTGGAATCAGCTAGTGTTTTGTTTAGGAACTTTTTTTTTACTTGAGAGAGAGAGAGCACAAGCAGGGGGAGGGGCAGAGGGAGAGGGAGAATTAGTCTCCCTGCTGAGCAAGGAGCCCTGCTGAGCAAGGAACCCATGCGGGGCTTGATCCCAGGGGCTTGATCCCCGGACCCTGAGATCATGACCTGAGCCAAAGGCAGATGCTTAACCGACTGAGCCACCCACTTGCTCCTGTTTAGGAGCCTTAATTCTAATGAGTTGACTTGTAATGTTTCCTTCAGATACTGCCATTGTCTAGATTTGGGTTATGATTGTGCCAACCACAACGAGTTGGAGAGCCTTGCCTATTTGTTCTATGGAAAACTTCGTATAATATTAGATTTCTGTGTTCCTGAGTGGGTCGTAGAATGTACCTGCACGATTGTCCCGCACGGCCACCACCTTGTGCCCCTCCCACCCAGGGGAGCACCGTTACCTGCTAATCTACATGTATGGCAGCCTGTGGAGCGGTGGATGGAATGACTCATCTTGCAGCTGAATTTTCTGTGTGGGAAGTTTTTTTTTTTATAACAGCTTTGTTGAGATATAATTCACATACTATAAAATTCATCCTTTAAAATACACAGCCCCGGGGGTTTTAGTATGGTGACATACACAAAGTCTGTTGCACAAACTCTCACCATGGTCAATTTTAGAACAGTTTCATTACCCTAGAAAGAAACTCTGTACCCATTAGCAGTCACTTCCTACTTGCCATGGCAACCACTGATTTACTTTCTGTCTCTGGATTTGCCTCTTCTCCGTAATTCGTATAAACGCGATTGTATAATAGGTGACCTTTTGCAAATGCCTTCTTTCACTGAGCATAAATGTTTTCAAGGTTCATTCATGCTGTACCATGTGTTAGTACTTCATTTGTTTTGTGGCTGCATAATATTCCATTGTATGGATGTACCGCTGTTTGTTTATTCATTCATTAGTTGATGGACCCTTGAGTTTCCGTTTTTTTGGCTGCTACAAATAATGCTGCTATGAACATTTGAGTACACGTTTTTGTATGAACATGTTTTCAGTTCTCTTAAGTACATGCCTAGGAGTGGAATGTTGGATCCTGTGGTAACTCTATGCTGAACTATTTTTTTTATTGTAGTAAAATACATTTCACATAAAATTTACCATCTTACCCAATTTTAAGTGCACGGTTCAATGGTATTAAATGTATTCACATTGTTGTGCAGCAAGCACCATCATATATCTCCATAATTCTTTTTATCTTGTAAAACTGAAACTCTATACCCATTAAACAATAACTCCCCATTTCCCCCTCCCCTTAGCTTCTGAAAACCATCCTTCTACTTTCTGTCTTTATGATTTTGACTATTCTAGTACCTTCTATAAATGGAATCATACAGTGTTTGTCTTTTTGTGACTGGCTTATTAATTTCACTTACCGTAATGTCCTCAAGGTTCATCCATGTTGTATATGTCAGAATTTCCTTCATTTTTATGGCTGGATAATATTCTTGTATGTATCTACCAGATTTTGCTTATTCATTCCCTCATCAATAGATACTGGATTACTTCTATGTTTTAGCTATTGTGAATAATGCTACTATGAACATAGGTGTACAGATACTTCTTTGAGATCTTGCTTTCAGTTCTTTTGGGTATATGACCAAAAGTGGAATTGCTGGATCATTTGGTAATTCTATTTGTAATTTTTTGAGGAACCACCATACTGTTTTCCACAGTGGCTGCGCCATTGTAAGTTCCCATCAACAGT